CCCCAAAACCCCAAAACCCCAAAACCCCAAAACCCCAAAACCCCTAGCAACTTTATTGCAATTGAGTCTATAAATTATACAATATTTCAAATGTGGACGTACAAAAGCTACTTTATCTTCGTTGGCCTTGCCATAATGGTCAACTATTCGGCTAGCTTTGAAGTCAGTGATAGACTTAAGCCCATTAGTGGAACATATGACCCAGAGACAGACTTAATCTATTACAATGGAAGGATTTTTGTAGATCAAGAAAAGATTTTGGTTAAGCAGGAAGACTCTCTTGAAACTGGATACAGATATTTGACTGAAGAGGGACCCATCCCACATGAGGAAGGCAACACAGGTGAAGAAGCAAGTGAAGGTGAAGGAGAGAGAAGATTTACTCCAGGATCCTATATGTTTTACTATTGCCTTGGTGTTTCAGTTTGATTGACTCTTGGAGCTGGTGTCATGAGTGGTCTCACTGTTGGATATTTATCAATCGATCAACTTGAGCTTGAACTAAAGTTGCAAAATGGAACAGAAGAAGAGAAAAAGCATGCTTTAGCAGTTTTGCCAGTTCTTGAAGATCATCATTATCTTCTTGTAACATTACTTCTTGCAAATGCATTGTGTATGGAAGCTTTGCCAATTTATCTGGATAGTATCGTTCCTTCCGCATATGCTATTTTAATCTCAGTAATTGCTGTGCTTTTCTTCGGAGAAGTAATCCCTCAATCAATCTGTACTGGGCCTCAGCAAATAAGAATCGGTGCATGTCTTGCTCCCTTGATTCAATTACTAAAAATCGTTCTGGGAATTGTAGCTTATCCTATAGCAAAGATCCTGGATTGTGCTTTGGGAGAGCACATGGCAACAAGATATTCAAACAATGATCTTAAAGCATTGATAGAGCTACATTCGTATAAGGCTCTTGCTGCTCTAGATGAAGACCATCATTCTTCTGAGGAAATTGGAAGTGGGCTGCAGCCATACCAAACCAGGATGATTAAGTCAGTTATTGATTTCAGAAAAGGGACTGTGTCTAAGTTAATGATCCCAGCAAACAGAATATTTAGCCTTAATGTTCACAAGAATATCAACAACACTACAGCAAAAAAAGTTACAAGAGCAGGGTTCAGTAGAATTCCTGTATATGAGGAGAGGGACAAGAACAGGATTATTGGCATTCTTCTCATCAAGACACTAATCGGTCTGGATTTATCAACTGGCAGAACAATAAGTGATTTGGTAAACGAAGGAGAAGTTACACTCAGAAAACCAATTTTCATCGGGCAAAATGAAAAGCTAGAAATTTTGATCAATCAATTTGCTGAAGGAAAATCACATATGGCTATTGTTACAGATGACCCAGAAAAGATGGAGAACTACCTTCTCGGATTAGAGGATGTTGCTGGAGAAGTCAGTATGTTAGATGGTGATCCTCTTAACCCCGAAAAGCCCTCAAGGCTCCAAAAAGAACCTGCAAAAGTTCTTGGAATCATCACTCTTGAAGATCTCATAGAGCACATCATCAAAGAGGATATCCTCGACGAGGCAGACTACGACAACGATCTCATCAGAAACAAGAACCCTAATATAAAGGCTATCAAGCATTATGGACACAGGAAGTCCAACCTACCTCTTCTTTACAAAGAGAACAAACAAAAGATTCAGGGAATTGTGGAAGATAACCTGAAAGAAATGTTGGGTCCAGGTAAAAATTTCATAAAGACTTATAACAAGTCTCTCTCAGGTAGAAAGGCTTCCCTCGACAAACCCCTTATTGAGCTGGATACTCTCAATAAGCACGAAGGCAACAAGAGTAGCATTCACGATGCAGAACCTTATACTGAAGAAAAAGCTTAATTACACCATGAGTTTTACCCAGATTTTCGAAAGGAAGGGTTTATGGGCGGTTCAACATTCCAAACCAAGGATGGGGTTTTGGGGTTTTGGGGTTTTGGGGTTTTGGGG